TTCAAGACCCATTATGCCTCATAAAGCTTTTATTTCTATTTCTCAAAAACTTTTTTAATTTCGGTGTACTCAACTTTTATAGTATCCAAAAAGATACTCATTGACCAGTTACCCGAACCATCTTTTTCAGCTGTGACACAGTGTGCATAATGTGTCACGAAAAGCGATTCTGTATCGACCATTTTAAAGTTTCATTGACAAGCTTAGAGCAACGCGTATAGATACATTTACCATATGACATTACAAAAAAACTCTGAAAAAAAGGTAAAATCGCCATTTGTTAAAAAGGTGTTTGAACAAATTCTTCATTGAATATAATCGACGTCATATGTGATAAGTAGACATGCAATTTATCGAAATATATTTTCCTGATATATATTTTTTTCGTCTAGGACGTCTTCTTCATTTGTTCGCTCGGCATTCATTTGATTGTGTAAATGTATAAAACATTAAATGTATAAAATCTGACACGAAATAATGTTTCTGATTTGTAAGTTTTTCTCAGGAAAGTGCTAATGAGCTAGATTTTGTGTTAATCAAAACATCAATTTTTTAAACATTCATAAAACAGCATCATGTTCATTAATTTATTTGATCGAACAATTTCAGTTTTTTGTGATAGCGACAAATGCACGTGAAAATTTGTGTACAATTTTCGCGGTTGTTGATGTATTGGATTGGAATCATACTAAAATCGCATGTCCTGAAACAAAATATGTGTAAATCTATTTGCACCAAAAATAAAAGATGTCCAAACGATAATTTATGGTATTATAAATTAATGATATTATATAATATTTTATAGACAACGCTTCTGTTTTGTTGTTGTTTTTTTTATTATTAGAGTCATTCCATATTTTTGACAAAATATATTTTTGACAAAACATTACAAATATTGTATATTTAGAAAAAAAATGTTTGCGTATTCTTAATATATGTCAACGAAGAGAAATAATAATAGTGAAAATTCTCAATGTATTTTCGAAATGTAAATTTTGAAGTTAAATTACCTATCTACAATTGCATCACATAAAGATAAATTTATGGTACTGAATATTGTCACCAGTATAGAGCCAGACTAGCCCAGCACCCCCGTGTAATCAGACCGGCCTATATACTGTCAGTAGCTCAGTTGTTGTATTTAGATACTAAAATCCCTTAAAATTTGTATGGACTGTTCCAATTCAAAAACCAGGCAAATCCATTACACGAATTTAGCAGGTCATATGCACATTATGCCTCTCAAAATGCCTTTATTTCCTTTTCTTATATTATAATGTTGGTGTACTTTTATAGTACAAATGTATCAAAAAATTAAGGTACTCATTGGCCAATAACCTGAATCATCTTCTTCAGCTGTTGCTTTTTGGTAATCCAGACAGTTATAGTGAATTTGAATTTTGCATTGAATTCAAAATACTACTTTGTTTACATTTTTCTACTTTTTTGACAAATTATTCCACATTTATTATTAGTTTTTTCAGGTAACAAGCATCTAAAATTCTCTAAAACCATTATTTCAACATCATAAAATTCATATTTGACCTTTTTAAAAAAAGTAAACATTTATTTGTTTCAGAGGCATAATGTGCCCCTAAAGCTTTCAATTTCATGACGCAAAAATAATTAAATGGCGTTCAGCCAAATGTTATATAAGTACATTGTTTAACAACCATTATGACACAAGTATCGTTAATTTGCATTTTGAATTCATGGAAAGACTAGCGTTTAGTTTTTAGCAAAGACGAGAGATAGAAAATGATTGCACTGCACTTATATGTTAATTGATATTACAGAAGAAGTGATGAAGTACCAGGCACAAATGGAATCTTACCCAGTGATATATTTATAGTCTCTCTTAGAAAATGTCTGTGAGAAGAGTTAGTCCCTAATATATTATCATGAGGTATGGCTGTTCATTATTTTCAACTAAATACTGTATTTTATGATAGATATAGAGTGAATTCTTTTTTTATGGCACTGTGACCTTTTCCGATCAGGAGGAATAGAGAAAATAAATGTTCCATTGTTGAGAGTTTAAAATTAATCGACATTAGATCTTTTCCAGACACCTTTTTTAAAAACATTATTAAATTAGATATGTTCATTTTTTTCATTTTATAAACACACGAACTATTTTTATCTTTTCGTTTTGGCATAATTAAAATGAAAAATTAGAAGAAAACAATCAAATAAACAATTTTTTCCTTTCATAATAATTGTAAAAAATAAGAAATATATATTAATTTTATAGGTAAAAAATGATACTAAATCAATACTAATTTGCATATTAATGCATATTTATTTGAGTGCAGTCACCTGATAATAATATAATGATGTACTCTAAAATGATAAATTTGTAAATGTAATTGTTTCTGTTAGGATAAAAAAACAATCAACCGCATTTGTGAATATTTCTAGTACGGTTATTTTTTTCTGCAGGTTCCTTTAGATAATAGGCAAACTTTACCGAAATGCATGTAGCATATTTTAAAAACAACACTCATACGAAACAGTAAACATTTATAGTATATTTAATACATGGTTCTCAATTTATAACTTTTATCTTCCGAGCTTCCGTTCATAATTTAATTAAAAATATTTATTTATTTTTATATTGAAATTAAACTGATTAATAAAAGACATCTAGACTATGTAAATTTCAAGTGCCTGAACAATTATCACACTTGTGTATAAAAGAAAAGACATTGGCACATATTTTAAAACTTTTAAGTGTTTTTTAAAATATATTGAAAATGTATGTCCCCAAAATATAAAAAAGAAATGTTTTCTTTGGTCTACTCACAAATTTAAATCCGTTACAGGAAATACTTTAAAGACTATTTTTCTTGTTTAATAGCGGTTAGCTGAATAGATGAGCGTTGGACTGAGAATCGGACAGTGCATGTCACTTTCGTTGTGATTGATCATGAAATCCTTTCTTTCTATGGTCATTCGCACTGTACCCCTGCTCTGGCATGTACAGAAATTTTCAGTTCCTTGCGAAAGTGAAGGTAACTAGTACTGGTTAACTGCTTGACAACATGCCCAGGAACGATGCGGTGGGTGAACTGTACTCTGGTATATTAAATGTGGCTTACTTCCGTGATCCGGAGTGAAAACTACCAAGAGCACGGCCACCTTGTTTAATGGAATACAAGTGTAGTTCAACAAACACTGTTATCATACGGCTGACCTCTGGAAGAGCATGTTTACCGTCCAGCTTTTCTTCTTGCTTAGAGTATACCACAACTCTAACTTAAAAATGTGTTGCCATAGATGTTGTAATTGAAATATATAGCTACTATATATGTCAACTGTAAGGGAAGTAGATGTAGATAGCTATATGGCAACTGTTAGTGAAGTATACAGCTATATGTTAACTCTAAGTGAAGTATACAACTATATGTCAAATCTAAGTGAAGTATACAGCTATATGTCAACTCTAAGTGAAGTATACAACTATATGTCAAATCTAAGTGAAGTATACAGCTATATGTCAACTCTAAGTGAAGTATACAGCTATATGTCAACTCTAAGTGAAGTATACAACTATATGTCAACTCTAAGTGAAATATATAGCTATATTGCAACTGCAAGTGAAATACATAGCTAAGCTATTAATGTCAGTTATATATGTAGCTATTTTGACAACTGAAACTTTAGTGTTCATTTTTTGGTATAGTAATATTTTAACTGCAACCGGAATAACTATAATGAAAAACTTAAGAATAAAGTTATATGGAAATTTTACCTTAAGTGTGTAGCTTTACGGCAAATGTTACTTAAATTATTGCTGTTTGACAAATGTAATTTAAATTTTTAAAATAAATGAAAACTTCACATCAAACAAGTAGGTACTAGTATGTAACAGCATTTTTTGTGAGACATTGCAGTTCTAAATGTTGTTGTTTCCTCAACTTTCGCATGATTCATTCAGAATGATACGATGTTTTAGAGCTTTTATTCGATTTAGGATTTTAATTAACGAAGTGATATATGACACAAAATTAAGTCTTATTAGTCATATATCTTTTTAATTCTAACACGTTATTACCCTTGATAAAATTAGAAATCTTTTGTCTTACCCTTGGTAAGACTTTAGGCTGCATATGTCTCCAGATGAGTCAAACTAGTTAAAAAAATCAAACTTGAAAACAATGTACTAAAATTTTAAGAACAGTAAGAAGATTCAAGATTCAAGTTATAATTTACATGTTGAGTGTGATTAATAACTGATTTTGCAGTATTTATCACCATATTTCTTTAGCGTGACTAACGCAGTAAGGAATAATTTTGGCATATTTCATTCTCTTTCTGGTAATTATCTCATTGACTTCAAAATATCTTATAACAAAGCTCATTCGACCATTCAAATAAAAAAATTCTATATTAGAACTACATAATATGATATGCTAATTTATAAAATATACTTTAATTTCCAAATTGAATCTGAAATTGAAATTGAAATTATTTACAAATCCTCAAAATCAAGAATTTGAACACACAATTGAACTCCTTGCGCCACTAAAACTTTTTATATTTAAAATATTTTTGAAAAACATAAGAAATGTAAGTCAATGATCAATTCAATATCTTTGCCATGCTTCCACGAGCTGGAATTTATGTAGATATACATATAATACATAATGCTTATGTAAAACACATTTCTTCGTGTACTGTAAACAATGAGTGGAATAAAATTATTCTGTACCTGAAATGATTTTTTTTATAATAACGGAAAATTTCAAAGTTTACAATTATTTACGTTTCAGTATTTGTACTATCAGAAGCATTAAATAAACCCGCCTGAACAATCAAAACAACATCATCTTCTTCTGGATGACCTTTATTTACAATAAAAACACATTATGCTGTTCACAAGAAATAATAATTATTTTAAAATTAAAAGAAATATTTCTTTCACCACCAACGGAGATCTTACAATCGGTATCATTTAGCACTGGTTTTTATATAATAAAAGTCCTACCATATTCGTGAAAAGTTTGAAGTAAACAGCTGAGAAAGTTCACTTTTCAAGGAGCTCCACTGAAGTCCAAAATGCTAAAAGAAAACTGAAATTTAAAAAATTGACATTGACCAAGAGCTGCGCTTAATTAAATTGTACAAATATGATAAATATACCTGGAATTTAACTGAAAATAGAATTTTGTGCGATACTTTGCCTGATTTGCGTATTTTGCACAATAAAAAAGATTATTATGGAAAAAAACGATCTTAGGCTTTTTACTGTTATTATTACTGTTATTAAGTTATTGTTTCAGACCTATATAAGATGGTACACAAATCTTGAAACAAATATAACCGGTCCCATCACGTAAAAAATCTTAGAGGAACACCCAATGTTCACAAGAAATATTATTTGTACATCACATATACGACACATAAATCAACCACGCTTGAACAAAGGTACAAAATGTTTTGCACATCGTTATTGCACGTAAGGACAAAAATAGTTGAATGTTGGAACTGGAATAGATGGATAAAAATATGGCCGCATAACATCTTCTCTTTCATAGAGACGCTTGCCGTCTTTGACCAAGATCGTCACAGACGCTGTTTTGGAACTGCTGGAAAGCGCTTGTTCCTGCTGCAGTTGTTTCCGTTTAGTTTTATAGCGTCTGTTTTGAAACCAAATTTTCACTTGGGTTTCTGTAAGTTTTAGGGCATTAGCAAGATCTGCTCTTTCGGGACCAGACAGATAGCGCTGGTGACGAAATCTGCGCTCTAATTCGAACACTTGCGCGTGCGAGAAAGCTGCTCGTGATCTCTTCTTCCTAGGTTTGTGGTCTCTATGCATTTCGCGTTTTCGGGAATTCGCATCTTTTCCCCTCCGCCCATTATTATCTGAAAATATAATTAAGTCATGAACTGTTTTGCAACCAATACCATAAATTTACAGAAACTAGACTAACAAAATAGTACAGTGCTTAATAATTACATATTATAATAACGCAAATATATGGCTCAAATTTTAAATGGTTGACAAAGCAGACCCTCTGACAACCTGGAGATTTTAAAAGTCGTGATTTTTTTCCCTTTAAGTTCATTTAGTAATATCTTCTAAATACCGGAACCTCTGAAAACCAAAAACCGGACGATTTTATATGGCTTCTAGTGGTAAACATGCACGAAAAATCCTTTGAAAACCGGACAGCAATAATTTTAAACATTCTGTGTATTTTAATGTGAATAAAGACATAATTTAGGACAGTTTTTACTGTAGTTATTGTCAAAGAATTTATCACTGTAAGCGCCCCGTTTTCCTCCATATGTATATGAGAAGTATATTTATTTAAAGCAACAAAACGGAGGACTCCCGTCGATTCTTATCAAGCATTTACATTTCCAATCCTTTTCATCAGTTAAGTTGCAATATATCGTTTTGAACAATTGTTATTTACAAATTTGTTATCTGTATACTGAAAATTTAAAAAAAGTTATAAAGCAAGCTTATTTACATTATTTTCTTGATATTATTAAAAGAAAGCGCTTCCAAACGACGGATGCCAACCGATGACGTAATTTGACATCATTTGCAAAATATATTATTCTAACACGACCCGCATTTTTCCCTATTGAACATAGAAGAACCGAAAGTGTGTGTTATTATGCTATAAAATCACTGTTTGACGTTCTATATTTAGACATGTGACGTAATCATTATACACATGACGTAACCACTAAAAATGTGACGCGCTGACAATAAGTACGGAAACAAATCAGGCGCAATTTAGCTAAATATCAGGTACGGCAGCATTTATTTGTTGATGTCGTGTTAGAATCGAAATAATATATCCAAATCGGTGATTTTATTGCTTGATAACATCACTGTTTGTCGTTCTGATGCGCATCATTATATCACTCGGGCTACGCCCTCGTGATATAATTCCTCGCATCCGAACTCCAAACAGTGATGTTATTGAGCAATAAAATCACAGTTTGGGATATATTATTTCTTAAGTAATCTTTATAATACTGAACGTTTGAAACGTCGCTTTTCGTTGGATAATCGCGACGTTTATAGTTTTATATCTATTTATGAAGAAATCTCACTTTTTTTCTCTAAATAAGAAAGTTTGCTGTATTATGAATTCGCTATAAATATTTCTGACATGTTATATGACCGTATATAAACGTTTGTTTGCAATATAACCCTCGTCTGGCGGCTTGGATTATATATGCGTACAAACAACCGTTTTTAAAGGACAATATAACCTGTCAAAAATCTTTTTAACTACAAATATAAACAGAAAAACGGGTTTCCTAATAAGAACAATATGTATAAACACGTGATAAATTATTGCGGAGGCTGCATGTCGCAGAAAATATTATTTACATAACTTGCAGTTAACTTCGAAATTTTCCGTAGAAATTACGTAAACAGGCGAAAATTTGAGTCTTAAGGTGAATACAATATATAGCCAGCTGAGATTTATATAATCCTCGGCTATCGCTTATCGACATATTAATTATCATTTTTGCTATATACATCCCGTTAACAATCTTTGTAACTAACAATTTAATGATAGTATATATATATCATATTTCAACTTATGAAATATATTAAAATCACTAGCGCCCTGCTTTAAATTCGTTCCCGTTTTTATCTGTAATACTTTTGACAATTTAGTTAGTGACAGCATGTGATAACATCATCATGTAACTGACAAGATTTGTTTACATTGTATTTTTGTCTACTGTTATTTCACGCTATTGTCAAGATAAACATTTAAAGATACTATATGCCGGGCAATCTCAAGTCCCACGTATGTTTGAAATATTAATGCATGTATTCAGTAGATAAATTATTATGGACTGAAATGAATTATGGCAATAATCATAATGTTTATTAATCATCTACTGCAATAATAATAATAATAATAATAATAATAATAATAATAATAATAATAATAATAATAATAATGATGATGATGATGATGATGATGATGATGAGGATGATGATGATGATGATGATGATGATGTTGATAATAATAAAAATAAATGAATTCATTCATTCATTCATTCATTCATCTGGGGTCATAATGAGACAATGATCTCAGTTAAAAAATGATTCTTCTTTTAGAAGAAGAAAAACAGAATTAATAAATGGATAACTTTGAAGCCGTTAGATCAATTGCATCAACTATTGAGTACAATTATCAAATCTAATTACAAAGAAAGCTCTTTAGTCATGCGGCTATTGTATAGTATTTTAGATGATGTACCATGTACAAGTCTTGAATAAATTTTCTGTTCTGTTCTGTTTTTCTTTTCTATTTTCGGAGATTGCGATATTGGCATCATTGACAGATATAACGGTACCTCAAGATGTATTGTTTGTTGTTGTTGTTGTTGATTTTGTTTTTTTCCTCAGTAAAATAATATTATATTGATCTATTTAAAGTCCCAAACTTACAACCTAATCTTAATATGGTATTATTATTAAAGTGGCCAACAAGCAAATATTAGTACATAGTTTATAACATTTCGCTGCCATGTCGCGAAGCAGAATTAGTTTCAAATACAGTTTCAAAATCAAACTGCATACTTATCATTATGTGATCGAATAACAGAAATTCTGGATGCATAAACGGACGAACAAACGAACGTACGAAACGAGTTTATATATGAACTTATGACAGATTATATGGAGATATATATTTTTCACACTGGGGGATTTAAATACTTCGAGGTCGGATCAAAAGCTAAACATGTTAAAATAAAGATTAAGGTCTGTCAGGTTAATATGTCAATTTAAAAATATTGATATTTAGATATATACCCTGCTGTAAAAATTAAAAAAAAGAACAAGGGACCGTGATAAAAAAAAACATATGCAATATGCAGTGCAACCGAAGTAACTTTAAAGGAAGTGTCTATATACGTATGTATATAAAATATGTGCAGGAAAAATATATACCAATAGCATTGAAAATAACATTGAACAGTTCTGTTTATTTGTCTATATTATCCTATAGATATGTTCTAAATGTCCAAAAAGAAGCTTTCTTTTTGCAAAGATAACACGTGCAATATTCAGTGCACAACTTAGAAAAATATGCAAAATGCAACTTGTTCATTCATCTATATACTGTCTTTTCTAAATGTTTAATTTAAACAAGCATCTGTTTTAGGTTTTACATTTTCAAATAATTCTACAAAATTTATTATCTTACCAGAAAAAAATATTTACTAAAATAACTGCAGATAATACTAATTTTTAGTTTTTTCGCGACTTAAAAGTAGGTTTGACCAGCTTTAAAATTGTTATTAACTACTATAATAATCTATTGTTAAAATTTTAATAAACTGAGTCCTCTGCTTTGTATACGACACTTCGGTAAATAAATTTGGAAATAAATCTATAAAATAAATAAGCAATTGATATATAATAAATCTATATAACGCATGTCCCGTTTCTTTCAGTTTCCAAATGAAAGAAAGGATAAAACAAAGTATTTCATTTTGTTTTTCTAATCAAATTTGCAAATGTATAATAAATATAGCAATATTTGTTTCACGGTTGACAAATGAACTTAAATTACTATATATTTATATATATTAATAGTAAAATAAATAAATAGTAATTTAATTTTATTTGTCAACAGTGAAATTAGGCTGGCTAATCAGATTCTAACGTTGTCTGTATAGATTTTGGTCAGGTAAAAGTTTTAAAGTTTTTCGTTAAATAAATAATTGTTAATAATAATAACTTGACAAGAAGTAAGGTTAATTTTTGATACAAATGGAACACAATTCTGCGTCATATACTGCGTTTAACCAAGTTAAAATTTTGTTCAATGGTTAGGCTGTATTTATAAATATATTTTCTACTTTAAAAGACGGAAACAAAATTGCGGCTTATTGTATTTTATAACAATTTGGTGCGGTTTTATTATTATAATAATTATTGTTTAACCAAAATATTACAAATTAATTTACTTTAAGACCGTTTACAATATAGTTGTTTTTCAAACACAGTCTATGTGATCAGCAAAGAAAATTGCTAGTGTATGTTTAAAAGAAATTTACTTTCATTAGAATATCTTGGGATGTAATTCATTTTTAACCGTTTATATCTGTTTGTATCTTATTTGTTTCTCTTTAATGTTGAATCATTAATATATTATTTCTTTAAGTCAAAAACGAGCTGTTTTGATTTGTAAACCAGTCGCAAGCACCTAGTTAATTTTTTCAGAATACAATTTTAACAATTAGAATATGTCTCCGTACCTTTAAACGACTCTGATTTATACTCGGCGAGGGAATCTGTTTTGTCTGAAATGGCTTCAGAAGATTCTTTTTTGTCCGCTGGACAACTGTTTGTAGATTGATCCTTTTCATTTTTAGCTTTATCGTCATCATTTGTCTCACCGCCAACTTCTATTTCGTCCGCCGACACGACGGAAATGTCTGAATCACTGTCCATTACTTCAAACGAAGTATCATGGTCACTGTCCATTGTAATTGCTTGAAACTCGCACTTGTCTCTGTGTTCATCACCAACCTGGTTTTCAGATTTAACATTTTCAAACACGCGGTTGCCATCGAGGCAATTATAATTTCCCAGTCGGTTTCCGTTGCTAAGAAAGTGCCTGTGAAGGTACCCATTCAAATCCGCCAATCCATTCTCTGGAAAACTGCCCCCACCAAAATGACGCAGACGATTCCCGAAACAAAAAGTGTTTGTTACACAATTGTTTGGCAATTCATTGAAATATTTCTGTGATTGGTGAGATACGATTGCGTTATGATATTTTTCCTTATTTTCGTTCACGTCTTTAATAGATAATCCACCTATATTGTCATTTCTATCAACTGCAGCCGTTCTAAGATCCAGAGCTGTAATCGGCACTGGTCCGGTGTGTGTTTCAGTTTCTGTAGTTTGACATAAATCTTTGTCAGATTTTGATTCTTTTCTATCGCGGGTTAGGATATTGTCAATCGAAAAAGTAATTCCAGCTTTCTGCTTATTACCTTTATTGTTATCGTCACTAGATTTTAATTTATGTTCATTTGCCATTTCTGTCGAATATTTAGTGCACTATTCACTATAATTTGTGTTTTAATCTTATTTATACATACAGGATTGTTGCCTTTTCCTCTAAGATTATATTAACTCTTCTTAACACACACAATAAAAAATCAGGATGTCAAAACTACACTATCAAAATTCCTAATTGCTTCCCATTAAACAATAACACGTTTATTATTTTCTTCTTGCCGCAAGTAGTGATAAACTAATGCACAAATCTCCGCATCTTATCGCATTTATTCCGGTTATATTGCTGAAAGCTTTTAATGATAGGTGGGAGGGGTAAATACGGTAAAAAACAAACATTTCAGCCAATAGGCGGGCACTTGTGAACGCTACTTCTCAGGTAGCTGGCTGATTAATATTCATTTTAACACCAATAATGGGAATGGCAGGAGTTGATTTACTTGCTAGGAGCTCGGTCATTAATCCGACATAATCTCTACGATGAAAAATATGCACACACAAATTAATTTACATGAACCAGATAACTAGAAGTGGTTGAAACAAGAGCGTTACCTGTCAGGGTAATCTATAACATGAATGTTTGAAACAAATTGAGAATTTATTATGAACCATTTCAATGTACGCTCGAGAAATATTAAATGAGCCTAGATCTATTCTTCCAGAAATCTTAAAATGCCGTAGATTATATTACAAAATATTATAAGATTAATGCTGCAATAATTAAAGAATAAATAAACAAAAATTTAACGAAACAAAATGAAAATATTCAAATATCTGGAGAAAAATGTGATCCGCCGGAAGCATCAAATTCAGCAAAATTACAAGAAAATTGCAGACTCGGTTTGATAGGGATAATGAAAAAGTACAGCATTCCTCACGCCCCCTATTCTAAGTCAATTATGAATAAGTTAATTTAAAATCAGATTAGTTTCGATAACGTAACCACTTTCGGACCAGTAATGGTGGCATATAAGGAAGCAAGAACAAGATTGAAATCAAATGTTGTGTGCAATTCGCAGGAATAACATCCCCTCTTTTTTTAATTTACGCTTTGATAAATGTTGTAAAAACATAACATGACGAGAAAAATGATTTTTCATTGATTTATTACATATGCCAATTGGATGGAAAAATGTATACATCGATCTTTTGCATAAAATAAATTAAAAATTGTAAACTTGTTTATATAATTTTCATAACTTCTAAAGTGAAAAGTTAACATGCCTTTATTCAATATGTATAACGTAATTTAGGTTATTTATGTGCCTGTTCTTTCTATCCAAATGTCTACCCCTCTGCGTAAAGTTGTAATATTGACTACTGACTGCAAATATAACTATTATTATATAATAAAGATTGTCTATATACAATTAGAATAAGTCACACAAATATTTCAACTTGACTATTGAATATATGATTATAATGCATTGTTAAAGAATTTATGAAAAAATATCTATATATTTATACAAAGTAAACATATTATCATAAATAAATAATATATTTTACAAAATATGCTATATGACGTCTCCGACAATGTTTTTGTCTTAAGGAAAGAGCGAAATAAAGCGGGTGACTAATGGTTCAAGATAATGTTTAAAACTTTTGTCAATAAAAAGACAAATGATGGATAGGCCCCGGTCAAAAGTTATTTTCATATTGCTGGATATGGATTTTATTAGATAATACGATTATTTTACAAGATTTTAGGCGTTATAAAACTGCGCTCATCAAATTTACGAACTAGACATATTGAGAGTGGGGTTCTCGTTGTTGATATATGTTCAATAAAACGGAAAAGGTGGATAAGTGTATATATAGTTTCACTGAGTGCCTTTTCATATTTTTTTACCTCCAAAATATTATTTATAAGGCATATTCAATAATGAAATATAGGAGAAACTTTCAGGACACTTACAGTGATATGTTTGAGAGAGAAAAAATCCTTTTCTGTAATGTAATTAAAAGTCCTCAATTTAATTGATTTTTAAAAGATTTTTTTTAACAAAAATATGACGAAAAAATAGCAACACACCCCATTTTTTTTAAAAAAATTTAAAAACAACAACAAAACAACAAAAACAACAACAAATATTAATTATTATTTTTATTTTTTTTTTGTTTTTTTGTTTGTTATTTTTTTTATTATTATTTTTTTTATTATTATATAATTATTAAATTAATATAATAGCGTTGGGAAATTAAAAATGGACGTCCAACTTTTATCCAATTTTCTTTTTTCAAATTTTTAAAAAAACTATAAACCCTATTTCCCATAAAACCCCCCAAATTATATTAAAGTTTTTAAACCCCTGTTAACAAAGGCCCAACTAAAGGAAGAAAAACGTGCCGTTATATGAAATGGTCTATATTTGTGTTATTCTTTAAAATTAAAACAAAGGGCTTGTAAAAAAATGGTCTTTTCACAGGTGACTTTATTTAGAGGGTTTTAACAAAAGATTTGACTTTTAAATTTAAAAAAGAAGGGAAAAATATCTATGACATCTAAAATGGTTGTTTATTCTTTAATAAACCCAAAATCATCTTATAAAGGGGTTGACTTGAATTTTCTAAAAAACATTTGGGGGCATTTTCCAAATTTAAAAGTTTTTAAAAATTTACCGACTAATAATATATATTTTCATTTTTCAGTAGCTTTAGACATTTTGAATTGTAAAAAGCATCTGATGAATTCCACAGCTCTATTTCCTCCCACCATTTACAAAAGGAAATAGATTGAAATATATCCAATAACATTTGAAGAAATTGACTTTTAAAGTTAAATTTTTTTGGTTGCCATGTTAAACAAAATAAATTAAGCTTTCGGAAGTCTTCAGAATTTATATAAAACTGCACGTTTGTTATCTCATTTGTCATTGGTTATACCATCTGCATTCAAAGCTGCTGCCTATTTATTCTGAATCAAAGATGCCAAGTGTACACTTTTAAATTTCGTTATTACGATTTTTGACATGTTATATGACCATTGTTTGCTATATAACCAACGCTATTATATAAGTCAACAATCGTTAACATGATTGTCTTTTTAACCACTTAAAACCTTCATAAGACTATAGGCCCAAATTAAACAGTATTTTTTCTTGGTAATCATATGTTCATCGGCCTAGACGCTTTAAAAGGAGACAGCGCGTGCTAGTTTTTTCCCAACACTTCCGGTTACAATGGAACTAGCAATGTAAAATCACATGTAACAACTGTCAAATTCTGCACACTGTAAAAATGTTTGCTCATTTTGCTGGAAATATTATCTTTAATACTTTTCATATTTTCTAGACAAACTAAACATAAGTGAATAATAAGCAGACGACAGACACTCAATGACTTTAGTACCTAATCTAGCTCTAATGAGATTCGAATATACTGCTGACAGAGTCATGGCGAACTTGATACGGGTTACAAGTTACCTGAAGACGTATTTATGGCTCGTGCTATTTAGAATTCAAGATGTATGGTTATGAGGCAATTAACAGAAGCGGAGAGGTATGGTTAAGGATTTGGGGCACGTGCTTTTGTTATTAGCAGACGATTTTTTGTGTTCAAAGTCGTACATAATTGTCTGAGTATTTAGTTTGTCTTAATAACTTGTTTATGATGTGTGATATAAACGTTTGTCATGCCTGTTGGCCGGACTGGAAGTAAGATGCAATTCTTTCTATAATCAAAGAAATTTTTGTTTCATTTCATTATTGCAACACTTAAGTGTTGTAACAATAAAGTGAGTGTAGATTCGCGATTCCGCGTCATTTTCGGAATGCATAATTGTTTGCTAATGTTATGAAGCATAATTATGGTAGACTATGACATGAAAATACAAACTTTTCTCCTATGGCATGAGTAGTGATAACCCTGGGATTCATACTTGATGTGCCCCAAAGTACCCATATACTGTAAAAAAACGAAGTGTAGCAAACTTCTACGCAGTGGTCCCCTTAAGCTTCTCTAGCACAGATCATAGCCAATCAACTCATTGTTGTAGTATCGTTTCTAGACATGTCATCATTTCATTTAAGAAAACAAACAGTCCCGTTTTTACGACCTCCTGCAGAATATCTGATTTGAGCATTCGTAAAGAATGAAGTGTGAAGAACCACATGAAAACCTTTTTTTTTGTGACTTAAAACGATCTGATTTGATTCATAATCAGTACTGCTCTCCCACAAACATTGTTACAAAAAGGCATAAGCACTGGCTGAATAATTTTTAGATGATTTTTATTGGACAATTAAGTTTATTAGTAGACGAAATATGAAAACATTTAATTTATTGCTACAATTACACAACTCCGGCTATTGTTTTATGATGTTTCAAGTTGACAAACTATAGATTTATTACAGTATTGATCTTATCTTATATCACTTCTATAACGCTAAAGTGGTAATGTCTTTTTCTTAAGTGTGATATCTTATAAAGCTTAATATAAAACCTATCACTGAATTAAAGTCATTAAACATTCAAAAACAATGAAATATTGCTTTAAAAATCTTAACTTGTACTCGTATCTTGAGACAGATAAAACACAGCTTCTTAAGTAACAAAATGATTTTGACGATGATTTTGATGATGATGGTGGTGGTGATGATGATGATGATGATGGTGGTGGTGGTGGTGGTGATGATGTTGTAGTTGTTGTTGTTGATAATGATGATGATGGTGGTGATGATGATGATGTTGTTGTTGTTTATGATGATGATGATGATGGAGGTGGTGGTGCTAGTGTTGGAGACGATGATGTTTATTATGATTAAGTTATTGTTGCTTTACGATGACTACGACGGTGATAATGACGATGACGATGATGATAATGATGATGATGATGATATGATGATGATGATGATGATGATGATAATGGTGATGATAATAATGATGATGATAATGATGATGATGATAATCGCTCATTATTGTACGTTTCTTGCGATAACAGAAAGTAGACTTTACAAAAATACCAAATGGAGAGTCAAAAAAAAAATATTTAAAAAAATAAGTATTTGGACACAGAGTTGAGTCGAATGCAGTAAACTTCACATATAGCGAACACGGTTATAGCGAACTTCCGGTTATAAGGAACAAAAATTTTTGTCGAATGTAACTAGAAAACATGCGAAGAAAGGCGAAGTATATTTGAAATAAATTGCCAGATATTTGGAAGAGGATGTTAATTCTAAACATGCTCGGTGGTGAAGAGAAACTTTCTTGCGCATTTAATTTATTTTTTGAAGTTCATTTACTGGAAGTAACCACATTTGGTGACATAGAAA